TTTTTTTTTTTTCTAAGATACTAGAAACCTAGGAAAGGAAAAGGAAAAATCACACTTAGCATTTCTCCAACTGAAAAAACTGAAGAAAAAATTCAAGCCCGAAGCAGCAATACTGGAGTCCTGGTGTGGTGCTGTAAAATAAGCACTTGACTGCTAACCAAAAGGTCTGTGGGTCAAATCCACCAGCTGCTCCTCAGAAACCCTATATAGAGTTGCAATGAGTTGAACTGATTCGGCGCGCATATAGTTTTAGTATATGGGGGTGGTGGTGTGTCCTGGAGTTGGTTCCCACTCAAAGCAACTTTGCATAGGGTTTCCAAGGCTGTACATCTTTACGGAACAATAAGCCTCATCTTTCTCCCATGGAATGCCTGGTAGTTAGAACTGCTGATCTTGAGGTTAGCAGCCAGCATATTGAGCGATGCAGGAAGCATCAAAAGAAGATGGAAGGGAGCCTCCTGCTCCTCCCTGGTGCTGGATTCTAAGATGGGTAGATGCCTCCTGTTAATGATGCTGGGTCTCTCCATGCTGTTGGACTTTCTGCAAGCCCTCAGATGTTACAACTGTACTCACATAAATCCTGATGGGATCTGTAAGAATCAGAGAACCACGTGCCAAGACATAGAAAGACAGAAGTGCATTATGAGGAAGTACTATAAAGATGGCAAGATCCAGCATGCACACCAGTTCTGGGGGTACATGTGTATCCCCAAGTTCGTGAATTGAGGAAATAGGTGCCGGAAAATTTCATGCTGTACTAACAGAGATCTCTGTAACACTTCCTCAAAGCCTCAATCCTGAGCCCTCCAGTTTAGCCCGTCTCTGTTCTCAGGAGTAGTGCCGAAAAGACTGGACTTTCTTTCCCCTGCATTGTCCATACCCTGACACTGGCTTCTACTCAACTAAGGTGTTCAGTAAACTAAACCCATCTGTTAGGTGCTTTCTCCTATCCACCACCCTTGGTGCTCTGCCCTTTCTTAGATTATAATCTCCTTCCCTTTCTTTGTTTCTCCCTTCTTCCTCCTCATTTTTTCCCTCTCTTAATTCCTTCCTCTCTTCAATAAATATCTCCTGACTGCTAAGCACTGTGATTAGGGACCGAATGTAAAACAGTGAATGA